GGGTATGAGGCCCTCAGGGACTTCCACAAAGGCTCGCCCATACGTGGCCCCGCCTGCCCCGGGCCGCGACCGGCGCGCGCTGCCAGCGCGGCCATCCGCTGCCGCTCTCCTGGCTCGAGGCGGCGCGGCCCGCGCCCTCGCGGCCCGCTGCGCCCGCGGGCGGGGGCCGCCGTCCCGAGGCCTGCGGGTGGGCCCCGCGCTGGAGGGCCCCGGACGGGAGGAGGAGGAGGAGGAGGAGGAGGAGGAGGAGGAGGAGGAGGAGGAGGAGGAGGAGGAGGAGGAGGAGGAGGAGGGAGGACGAGGACGAGGAGGAGGAGGAGGAGGAGGAGGAGGATAGGATAATGAGGAGGATAATGAGGAGGATAATGAGGAGGAGGAGGAGGAGGAGGAGGAGGAGGAGGAGGAGGAGGAGGAGGAGGGGGAGGAGGAGGGGGGGGGAAGAGGAGGAGGAGGAGGAGGAGGAGGAGGAGGAGGAGGAGGAGGAGGAGTTCCCACACCTCCACCCTGTGTCCGCTTTCCTTTCTTGGGGCCTCCTGGGAGGCCCCCGTCGCCACCGCCGGATTCGCGTCGAAATCCTGGCAGGGAGGGGGGCGGGGAGGTTCGAGAAGGTTTGGAATCTTTGTCTTTTCCGGTCCCTGGGGGCTGTTTTCGGGCTCCGGGCCCGTCAAAAAACGAGTCGGGGGTGAACAAATGCGCCAGGTGTACCCCAGGAGGTGTCCATGAGGTCCCTTCTCGGGCTCCTGGTGGATGGGGTCGGAGCATCGCGCCGCGTCGCCGATGCATCGGCGATACAGGGGCGACACCGCCGATCTATCAGCGATGCGGCACGAGCCTCCTAATTACCCCATTCACTCGGTCCGCATCTGGGAGGCCTAGACAAAAGGAGGGTGATTACTCGGGGGGATATCATGGCTTGGGCCATGACATCTCCTTATGTTTCAGCCCCCCCCTTGGCCGCGCACATGCTTCGGGCCATGATTTGCGAACTCTCCTCTTGGACGCACCCTCTCTTGGACGCCCCCCCTCTTGGACGCCCCAAGTTCGAGGGAAGAAGCACGATTAGGAAGGGTCGAGGTAGACGGGGTCGGAGGATCTTGCCGCATTGTTGGTGCATCGCCGACGCTGCTCGATGTGGAGTCCGAGTCTCTCCGCGCTGGCGTCGCCGATGCTTCGGCGATGCGGCGCGATCCTCCGACCCCAGCTGCTCGGACCCCAAGCACGACTGGTACGGCTGCGGGTTGCGCATGAAGCCCCCCCCCCCCCATCAAGCAGTGGCGAAGCGTCCTGGCGTGCTTATAGGCCTACCAAACAATTTATAATAACCTTTTGTGGTTTCACGACATGTTCTTAGAGCATTTCTGGCTGGGACTGCCTTGTTTTATCATATCGGGAAGCTGTTCTAAGAACATGGTTGGTGTTATTAGAACATGTTGGAGTTCTCAGAACATTTCGTGGTAGGCCTTAGGAATGCCGGGACGGTTGGTCCCTGCTCAACCCAGGGTACGTCGTCCCAGCTGGCCTCCGCAGGCCCCCCTAAGTAGTCCGGGGCTGTCTCAACACCTCGACGCCGCCTTCTGCTCCTCCTCCTCCGCCTCTTCCTCCTCCTCCTCCTCCTCCTCCTCCTCCTCCTCCTCCTCCTCCTCCTCCTCCTCCCCCTCCTCCTCCTCCCCCTCCTCCTCCTGCTCCTCCTCCTCCTGCTCCTGCTCCCCCTCCTGCTCCTGCTCCTCCTCCTCCTCCTGCTCCTCCTCCTCCTCCTCCTTCTCCTCCTTCTCCCGGGCTGTATCAACACCCCGAGGCCGCCTCCAGCGGTGCCATCGGGACGCTCCGCGCCCCCATGGTTGGGTGGTTGAGACCGCCCCTGAGCTTCGAGCGCCTTCCTGCCAGATCCCAATATAAGCTTCAAGCGACTTCCTTTCTCAAGGAGGGGCGTGCGCGTGCTGCGTTTTGTTCTCTGGGGGGGCTTGACCCATGGTGGGCCCAATTTTTCCACCACCAATGCCAAATGTAATTATGCACGGGCACCATTGGGATGCGCACCCACCGTTACTGGGGTGTTCGATTGTGGGTGCGCCCGCGTCATATCTGACATCCTGTCCAACCCTCTTATGTCATCACTTCCACATGCACTGATGTGTTTCCCCATACGCGAACGTGTGTCATAGCCGACCTGAAACTCCCCCCACCCACCAACAACAACAAACAAACACATCGCGTCATGCGCAATCGGGAAAGGGGAAGCACGCAGATAGGCGGACAAGGTGGAGGGTGAGCTTGAGGATGGGCGGAACAAGACAACTTATAGGATGAGGAAGGAGGATGGCGAGGACGAACCCCAGCAGCACTAACTGGAGTGGATGGAGCGGCAATGGGAGAGAGGGGGAGGCCGGGGGAGGGGGAAAGGGGGGGGGCGGGAGAGACGGGGGGAGAAGAGAGGATACTAATGCGTGAGGGAGGGGGAGAATGTCCACTGGACGAGCGCGGTCCGCTACTCGCAAAGTGACTGCTCGCAAACGGCCCGGGTCCGCCGCAGGGGGGCGCTACGATGTTTCGCGTCTCTTGGCGACCACCTGCTTTCTCGGATGTTTGCGATGTCCACCGGCGGAAGGACGCTCGCCCCGCTGCCCTGCTCGGACGGGGAGGCTGAGGAGGGGTAGGAGGAGGAGGAGGAGGAGGAGGAGGAGGAGGAGGATAACGAAGAGGACGAGGAGGAGGAGGCGGAGGAGAAGGAGGCGGGGTGGAGGAGGAGGAGGAGGAGGAGGAGGAGGAGGAGGAGTAGGAGGAGGAGGAGGAGGAGGGGGAGGAGGCGGAGTAGGAGAACGAGGACGAGGAGGAGGAGGAGAAGGAGGAGGAGGAGGAGGAGGAGGGCAACAATCGTTGTTGAACGCTGGCCGCGGTTTGTTTTGTTGTTTTGTGTGTTGTTCGTTTGGGGCGCTTGCGTTGTTCGGTCTCCACGATTGCGTACACGATTGGGTAGGCCAAGCGATGTGGTTTGCGACGTTTGTCTCGCGTTTTCTTGTTTGATATCATCGGGTTTATCCGTTTCAATGTGTTGTGCTTTTTTAGTTTTTAGGGAGCAGCGGTTTGTTGGCTTCGTTATGATTCGATGCATGCGCGGGACCCAGATTGTTTTCGCAGACGAGGAGTTAGCACAATGTGTTCGTAAGTAGCTTGTTTAGAGAAAGAGAACGTGTTCGCAAGTACCCGAGAGAGTTAAGGATACGGTTTCCCTTGAGAGTCCGAGGACTCAGCAGCAGGGTTTCGCAGGGAGCCGGAGGAGTTCACATGAGGATGTTCGCAAGCAGCCCGAGGAGTGAGCACGATGTTGCCATAAAGACCCCAACGAGGTCAGATAAGGTTTTCGCGGGGAGCCCAAGGGAGTCCGGATAAGGTTTCCGCAGGAGGCCCAATGAGTTCACATGTTGATTTTCGTGAGAGGCCCCAGGAGATAGCACGATGTGTTCGCGAGGGCCGCCGTGCGTTAGGATAAGCCTTTCGTAGGGAGTCCAAGGAACTAGGATAAGACTTCTGCTGGGAGCCCAGGGAGATCCGACGATGATGTTCGTAAGGAGCCCGAGAGATTAGGATGATGTGTGCGTCTGTGCCCCAAGGAGTTAGGATCAGGTTTTCGCTGGAAGCCAAAGGAGTTAGGATGGAGGGGGGCCCGAGGAGATTAGATCAGCATGTTCGAGCTGATTCAGGGTGGGCATCACATGGTTTGCGCAGGGGCGACACTGATTTAGGATACGAAGGTTTTCGCAGGGCGCCCAAAGAGTTAGGATCAGACTTTAGCGGGAAGCCGTTGGCATTCAGATGGGGGTGTTCGCGAGGAGCCTTGGGAGTTAGCACAGCGTGTTTTTGTAAGAGCCTCACCGAGTTAGGAAAAGGCTTTCGAAGGGACCCAAGGAGGTTGCATAAGGTCTTCGCTGGGAGCCCAAGGCGTGCAGACGAGGATGCTCGTGAGGCGCACGAGGGGTCAGGATGAGGTGTTCGTTAGTGGCCCAGGGCGTTCGGACACGGTTTTCGCGGGGAGCCCCGGGAGTTAGGACAAGGTTGTCGTTGGGAGCTTCAGGGGATCGGATGGTGATCTTCCTATGGAGTCCGAGGAATTATGATAAGGTGTGCTCATGAGGCCCAAGGCGTTACGATCATGTTTTTTGTTAGGGAGCCCGAGCAGCTAGGATTAAGTTTTTGTGAGTGGCCCAAGGCATCAGGATGAGGTTTCCGCATAGTGGCCCGAAGGGTTTCAAAGAAGGATTTTCGTGAGGACCCCGATGAGTCAGGATAAGGTGTTCGTTGGTGGCCCAAGGTGTTAGGATAAGGTTTTCGCAGGGGGTCCAAGGAGTTTGGATAAGATTGTCGCTGGCAGCCCAAGGAATTCAGATGGGGATGTTCGTGAGAAGCCCGAGGAGTTAGGAGAAGGTGTTTGTTAGTGGCCCGTGGCTTTAGGATACGGCTCTCGTGGGGAGCTCAAGGAGTGAGGACAAGATGTGGGAACCACTTGCGAACACGTTATCCTAACTCTCCGGGTTCCTCACAAACATCTTCATATGAATTCTTTGATCGCCCAGCGAAAACGTTATCCTCATTCCTTGGGCCTCCTCTGAACACAGTATGCTAATGTCTATGGCCGCTAACGACTACCGAAGAGATGGTTCAAACTCCTCGGTCTCCTCAATAAGCTCCTCGTCTGAATTCCCTGAGCTCCCATCGAAAATCTTGTCACAACTCCTCAAGCTCACTGCGAAAACTCGCCCTTGCGAAAACTCGCTGTGCCAACTCCCCAGGGCTCCTCTCGAGAATCCGCACTTGAACGTCCGTGGCTCCTCGCGAAAGCCTTGTCCTAACCCCTCTGTGGGCGCCCTACTACAACCTTGCCCTAGCACACTGTAATCCCTGCAGGGCTGATTTCGATTCCCACGATTCGATTCGAGTCGACTTCGATGGCTTCCGATTCCGATTCGATTCGATTTGGGATTCAGATTTGGGCTCCGATTTTTCAATGGAGGCCTACTAAAATTCAGATCTCCGCCGATTCGACTTTTCCCGATGCGGCTGCCGATTTCCTCCGATCCGATTCATTTCGATCGCCGTTCCAACTTATCGATTCGATTATTGCGGCGCCTGCCCTTGCGGAAACCAGCGAAAACCGCATCGTGATTCCTTGAGCTCGCTACGGGAACGTCGTCCTTGTTCATTGGGGCAGATGCGGCAAATTTGCGCTAACTCAGCAGGCTCCTCGCGAGAATCCTCGTATGATCTCCGTTGGCACACCGCGAAGACATTATCCCAGTTCTTTGGCCTCCCTACGAAGCCCTTATCATATCTCAGTGTGGCCTTGGCGAAAACATTGCGCTACTTTCTTGGGCTCTGGCGCTACCTTCCCGGGCTCTTCGCGAAAATCCCCGTGTGTTACCAGCGAAAACCTCATTCTAGCCTCGTGGTCTCTTTGCGAATACTCCGTCCTTACTCTGTGGGGCCCTTGCGGAAATCAGATGATTGTCCCACGTTCTTCAACGCGTTTCGTTTTGGTGTGGTTTGGTTTCGCTGTTGGGTTGCGAGGCTTCTGTGTGCTTTGCATCGTGTTTTTTTGTTTTTTTGAAACGGAAGCAACAGACAGCGTTTGAAACAACATCGTTGAACAGTTTGCGTCGTCACGGTTTGTGTTTGCTCCAGTTTTTGAGCGACCAACGAGTTTATACCATAAGTTATTGTTGGTTTCAGTGTTGGGTGAAGGATCGAGGGTCGAGGAGGAGAATGAAGAGGGAAAGCTTGGGGAGGACGGGGGCGGGAAGAGGGGGAGGGGGAGGGGGATCGACAGGGGGCTATCGTTCCCCTCCCTCCGTCCCCCCCTGCCTTCTCACGTCCTGATCTTAATTTCGCTTGTCTTTCTGCGTTTATCATCATATGTGTCTGTCCTTTCCCTCCCCCTCCGTTCAATCGTCCTCATCGGTCGCTGTTTCCCCTCCTTTCTCCTCCTGCTTTTCATCGTCCTTTTCCTAGTCGCCTACCTCGTCGTCATACCGTCATGATCTCGCCTCCTCCGTATCTCCTCCTCCAGCCTCCATCCTCCTCCTGCCGGTGTCGCCGTCGTTCTGTCAGCGAGTGCGTCCGCGCTGGAGCGTTGCCCGACTCATCCTCGCGCGCGCTGCGCGTGCCCTTTTCCAGCTTGCCCAGCCTTCCCTCAACGCCCCTGCAAGTGGAGCCCCTGCTAGTCTGTCCTCGAGGCCATCCAGGTCCTCCTGAGCAGGTCACAGACGCTCTACAGGCCTAGTAGTCTTGCTGTGCTTGCTCGGAGTTGTTCCAAACCGTCTTTGTTCTTTTTCCTTTGTCCTGCCTCGTGCCTCGACCGCGGGGCCCAAACAGCTTCGCTCATCTCACATATGCCCTGGGCGCCTGGTTTGCCGTGTTCGGCTCGGCGTGGTGGCAACCATTGTGTCAGCGCGCTCAAGCCCCAGCAGCAGTCTGAAAACTATTGTTCCCGACCCTCCTGTGTTGGGATCTTGTCTTGGACAGGGCACTGTGGTCTCCAGTCCTCATTGCTCCCTCCAGCTCCTGTTTGAGATGGAGCACTGTCGTAGGTTTCTGGGAGGTCCAGCGGAGTGGATGTCCCCGCGCACTAAGCCGAGACCTCGCGGGCTCCTGGGGTGGCTGCCAATTGCGCAGCCGTCGCTGCTTTCGTGGGCTCCTAGGAGGTCCAGTAGAGTTGCGGGCCGCGCGGACCCAGCCGTGGCCTCACAGCTCCCTGCTGCGCAGCTGTCGCTACGTTTGTGGGCTCCTGGGAGGTCCAGCGGAGTAGCGGGCAACACGCACCCAGCCGAGATTTGACGGTTCCTTCGGTGGCTTGGATTTGTGCAATTGTCGCTATGTTAGTGGGCTCTTGGGGGACCCAGGGGAGTGTGGGTTCACGCGCACACACCCAAGACCCCACGGCTCCTTGGCTTGCTGACATTTGCGCAATTGTTGCCCTTGTCATGGGCTCCTGGGAGGTCCAGCGGAGTGGAGGTGTACGCGGACTCAGCCGACACCTGGGGGATCTTTGGGGCGGGCTGCCAATTTCGCATTTGTCGCCACTCTCGTGGGCTCTTGAGGGGTCAAGCGGAGTGGGGGCGCACGCGCAGTTAAGCCTTGAGACCTCGTGGTTCTTTGGGGTGGTTGGGAATTGCCCATGTGTCGCCGCTTTCGTTGGCTCCGAGGAGGTCCAGCGGGACGTCGACGCCTATGACCGACGGCGATTCGACAGACATAAGAAGGGAGGAGGACGGAGGAGGAGGAGGGAGGAGGGAGTGGGGCTGAGGAGGGAGGAGGAATGATGATGAGGAGGGAACGGAGGAGGAGGAATAGGAGGAGGAGGAGGAGGAGGAGGAGGAGGGGGAGGAGGAGGAGGAAAAGAGGCAGGAGCTGCCCCATGGCGCGTGGCGCTTCTCCGCGCGACGCTGCTCGATCGCTTAGCGCGCGGCGCTGTCCCTCGCCAGTGTCACATCTCCTCTGCAGCTGCCCCTCCCCCTCCTCCTCCTCCTCCTTCTCGTCACTTTGCTTATCTCAACAATGTTGAACTTGAACATGTGTGTAAACTTTTGGCAGCGATCGAGGAGATTTGAGTATTTC